ATTAACGCGTTGAACAGATAATATACATTTATACTGAATTCGTCCTTGGTGATTTTTTAACATAATATAACGAATCATACAAAATAGAAGATAAGAAAATAAACTAAGCGAATTCTTATTTCATAGTTTAATTACAAAAAGTATAAACAAATATTTTTCTCAATGTACGTATTGAGCATGAATGCAGTGTTCATTAAAAACGTCTGTGGATCTAATCACAACCGAAATGTAGTTCAGGAAAGCATACTGAACGACTTACTTACCTCACCAAGCAGCTAATTCTTACAGCGTTAGTGTAACCTATTTTCTTGTTTTGTGAAGAGTTTATATAGTCGAATTCTAGAAGATTCCCACTGGAATACAAGCCTTTAAGTTAAATTTCAGATGGCACATGACATCATTATTCAAAGTATTTCAAATAGGAACCAGTCTGTACAGTAATTGGCTAAAACTCCCAACTTGGTTTATTCATGCCATGTAATAGTTTGAATTAGAACGTTAACTAGGGGAAATTCTGCCTCATTACTTAACATGCTATAACGTTGACATTAAGTGTGTAGCCAACTGCATTGGTCAGTAAATTCATCAGAAGTTTATCTAGGGATGAATGTGGGTTCCTGATACAGACCGTTATAAATAAGAGAGCTTCTATAAGTTTTTAAGTCATTTGAATAATATATACCCACACGGATTTTATATGGGAATTTGCAAATCAACTTCAGTCGAAACACACGAAAAACCTTGATATAGTTTCTTTTAAGTAAAACCTGAGGAATAGTACATTTTATTGGATAAATGATGAAGACTTTGGAGTGAATTAAGCTCACCATCTTCACGAAGGTGGGATTCTTTCGATTTATAAAGGTGGATTCTGTATACTGATCAACAGGGATTAAAATATCGAATCAGCTTGTTATTTCGTGACGTCAGCCCTTCCTCACCTGTCTCTGTTGCTCACTTTACACTACTTACTAATAAGCAGTAGTTCGTGCCATATTTAGTCATTCCCATAGCTTTTAACAATGCCGAGTGATACTTCTTTAACTTAACAAACCATTTACCTCATTCGTCTATTTCTATATTTGTGTCCTGGTTCGTTCTTTTAGTCGTATTATTGTTCTTTTTTTCTTTTATAAAATACCTTTTTAAAAGGTTGCTTTTGACCTCTTGTCTACTTTCAATATAGACTAATTTATTTCCTTTAATCGTTGGTATTCCCGTTTTATACGTCCAAGACCTCTCTGATTTGTATCATTTGCAATAATTTTAGTATCATTTAGTTATTTGAAGCTTACACTTTCTCCCTGGCCATTCACTTAACAGCATAGTTTACTTTTGGCAATTTCCCGACTAGAGGTTTGTAGATTCTGAGCAGCGTTTACTAAGCTTTCCACAACAAATTTGTCCTCTCAGATAAAAATCGTCTTTTTCAATATCTTTGGGCATAACTTGGCGTTTCGATTTGTATGAATAATCCTTTCCGTTGATAGTTTTCTTAAGCAAGGTTCCAAACTGTTTAACAGTCTTGGCCAGGCTACAGTCAAGCAGGTAGTCTATATATACCCGTTTGTTCTTTGGTCTTTTGAAGACACTAAAAATTTCTGTTTACCCGTTTAGGAACACAGCATAAACTGAATTCATTAAGTAGCGATGATATGTACTGTGCATTGATTTTCAATAGAAGTCGGTTACACGCTCTTTAGATAGTGTTAATCTCTATCGCTATATGTGAATCAACTAATAATATTCGAGTTAACCCCCCACTACCTTAGACTCATATGGTCCCAAAATATTTATCACTCTTACCCTTTTTATTTGACCAAAAATCATGGGATCTCATCAGTCATAGAAACACGACCAATCCTTGTTATCGACTCATTTTTTTGTTCATGCTACTGTTCAGTATGCATGTTCTTATCGTGCTCTTTGTAGGTGAATACTATTTCCCTTTTTTGTACTAACTGTAATGTTTCCAAAATCCTGTCACCAGTTAACTGTTCTCCAGAAAGTGCGTTCGACAGTTATTGTGTTACTAGCCCGAGACTTGAATGCTGAGGTCGGGCGTCTAGGCACAGAAGAGAATCGTTTAGGTGGCCGTTGGGGACTTGTTGGTCGTAGGACAGATAACGGGGACCGCCTACTGCAACTGCGCACAGACCGCAACCTATTTCTAGCTAGCACTAACTCTCGGTACAGTCATCGCCGATGTGCCACCTGGCGTCCTCCCTCTGCATCTCAAGCCTGAGCCCAGATTGATCACAACGCGATCAGCTACCACTGGAGTGCCATTGGAGTACCTATCTGGACTCTGATCATGCCCTGGTCTTCGTCAATCTTACCTTACTTTTCAGTGGACAACAAAGTGACCGCCACCAATGGATTGATGTTAGCAAGCTGGTTGCAACTTCTGTTGCTAGTAAGTATCGAACCGAGCTAGTTTCTAGGCTAGCTACCATTCCACCGAAAAGTATAGATGAGCATTGGTTGCATCTGCCTGACGCCACCAAAATGGTGAGTAAAGCCGCTTGCGGCTTCGCGAAACGTCCCGCTTATAAGCAAGGGGTTTCTTCATGCTCCTTACAACTCATCGAAGCCCGTCGGTCTACTCCGAATGACCATGAGTTTGACCACAAACGAAGGCTGTTACGTAATGAAATCGGGCGAAGCTTGCCCCCAAAAGCTCTCGTACGGCCGAAAGTGGTGGAGCCCACTCTCCCTCTCCAAATGCTCTCACATGGCCACGTTCATACAACTACTGCCAGGGAAGTCCTACCCACTGCCTTCTTGAGGCATTACTGTTGTTTACGAAATTGAGAGGACGAAAAGCGAATGTCTGGCGTTTTAACCGGATTATTGGACACGGAGAGTTCACCTAGGGGAGTTGGAAAACCCTGATTCTAAACCAATGGTGCACATGGGCTCCAGTATCCTGAGGGAACAAATGGCGTATGAACCAATTGTTGGTCACCGGCTACCATGGGACTGCATCTCCTTACGATGCTCCACTACTTTGTGGATCAGACCTTCAGGTCTAAGGCTCCGGGTGTGGCTCCCTAAGAAAACCTACTGCTTCGGTTTGGGCACCCGGCTAGTATCACAGCCCTCACACAAATCAAATGAGATTTGTGTGGCACATATGTATTTGGTGCCTCCTTGTACCAATATCTGTGTTAAAATAAATAAATAATAATAATAAGCCTTGCGTAAGGATCGAGAAGCTTGGTGGTCGGAGCGTTGCTAATGACCTGGAAGTGGCACCTGCATCTGGTAACTACCTGAAGGTCTTTCAACTCATCCGAGCCACTGGCAGCAAGAAGTCTGGTGTGAGTGTAACAATCTACGAGGATGATGGGATGCCAACCACTAACATCTATCGACGTCTTGGACGGTGGGCAGAATTTTTCGAAGGGCAGTTCAACTGGCCTGCTGCTCCGGCAACATCAGTCAGACTGTCCTGCCCTCCATGACCGGTGACGACTGATCCACCGAATCAGGCGGAAGTCCGCAAGGAACTCCAACTCTTGAAGCGCTCCAAATCACCTGGCCCAGATGACTTACCTCCGGCTTTTTTCAAAGATGGTGGTGACTTTCTAGCTAAGGAACTAACTGTGTTGTTTACAAAGGTTTGGGCGCTAGAGAGTGTACCAACGTCATGGAATGAATCGATAGTTGTCCCTATCTTTAAAAAGGGTTCACGTCGTTCCCGTAACAACTAACGAGGGATAAGTCTACTTCCGATTGCGTCCAAACTATTGGCTTCCGTCATATTTCGTAGGTTGTTCAAAACCCCAGAAAGATTGACTCGCGAGGAGCAGGCTGGGTTTCGTTCTGGTCGAGGATGTATTGATCATATCTTCACCCTCCGCTAAATGTTAGAACATCGCCATACTTATCGAAGGCCAACAATCGTAGTGTTTCTTGACATCAGGGCTGCCTTCGATTCGTTGGACAGGACTGTTCTCTGGGATTGTCTATGGAAGAAGGGTTTGCCTGAGAAGTCTATTAACATCTTAAAGGCCCTATGTACAAACACCTCAGGCAGAGTGAGGGCATATAGCCACCTTTCTCCATTGCTTCATTCAAGCAGTGGGGTTATACAGGGTCGCCCAATCTCACTATTCCTCCTCAACTTTGCTATCGATGACGTTCAGGAAATGGTTCTGATGGATGTAAGTGATGGTGGTGTAGATCTGTTACCTGTAGAGACTTCTCGACCTTGAGTATGCGGATGATATTGTCTTACGCTGAGATAATGCCCAATCCATTCAATCCTCACTTAGCCAGTTGGCAAATTAGTGTCCGTAGGTACGGTATGGGCTTTGCACCTTCGAAATGCAAACTACTTCTACAAGACTGGCAGGATTCTAATCCTGTACTCACCCTGGGTGGTGAGCAGATAGAAGTAGTCGAGTAGTTTGTGTATCTAGGTAGCTGCATAAATGCCGGTGGTGGCATGAGTGAAAACCAGAGCGACTTATGCCAATCTGGGTCATCTTTGGCGCCTTCGTGATGTTAGTCTGGCTGTAACAGATCGGATCTACAACGCGTCGGCGAGAGCAGTTCTGCTCCATGATTGTGAAACCTGGCCTCTCCGAGTTGAGGATGTTAGACGACTCTCTGTGTTTGATCATCGTTGTCTCCGAAGGATTGCTGACACCCAGTGGCAACACCATGTTAGTGATGCAGAGGTTCGGCATCTTGTGTTCAGGCACAGGGACGATAATGCGATTGGTGTCACCATCTTTTTCTCCCCATTCTCATTGTTTTGTGTGACGCGTATATATTTTGTGCCCCCTTGTACCAATATTTGTGTTCAAATAAATAAATAAATTCCAAAATATAAATATGTGAGCTCATATCGTACTATAATTTCAATTACATGAGTGTTTATATGAAAGCAAATGACAAAATACAGGAAATCTGTTATAAATTTAACCTTGTTATTATATCAGTGAATAAAAATGTTAAATATTTTTAAATACTGTGTACTATATCTTTAGAATTTCCAGTTAGAAGTTGTTCGAGGTGAAGACATTGGCAAATTTTTCCGCGGTGATTCCTATATTGTTTTAAATACCGAAAAAGTTGGTGATGAACTGTTGTATGATGTTCATTTTTGGATTGGACGTGAAAGCACTGCGGTAAGTTTATGTGCTTACATACTTACTTACACCTGTTACCCCTAATGGAGCATAGTCCTCCAACCAGTATTCTCCGACCCACTGTCCTGGGCGTTCCTTTCCAGTCCTATCCGATTGTTGCTCATTCTTCTCATGTCTGTCTCCATTTCTCGGCGTAATGTGTTCTTTGGTCTTCCTCTCTTCCTTTGGTCTTGAGGATTCCATGTGAGGGCTTGTCTTGTGTCTCAGTTGAGTGCTCTCCTGAATGTGTGTCATATCCACTTCCAGCTCACCCTGATTTATTCCTCCACTGGCATCGGGTTTGTGTTCTCATTCAGTAGATTGTCGCTAATAGTGTCTGGCCAACGGATACGAAGTATTTTGCGTAGACAACTGTTAATAAACACTTGTATCTTGTGAATGATTGCTTTTGTAATTCTCCAAGTTTCCACCCTGTACAGTAGAACTGTCTTGACATTTGTATTGAAGATTCTGACTTTGCTGTTGGCTGACAGTTGCTTTCAGTTCCAGATGTTCTTCACATGTAAATATGCTGCTCTTCCTTTGCCGATCCGCCCCTTCACATCTTCATCAGATCCACCGTGTTCATCAATGATGCTGCCTAGATATGTAAAGGTTTTTACATCTTCCAAAGCTTTTTCATCAAGTGTGATTCGCTTGGTGCATGTTGTTTTGTATCGCAGATTCTTGTTTTTGCCTTTGTGTATTTTGAGACCTACCGCTGCTGAGGCTGCTGCTACACTGGTCGTCTTCTGCATTTGTTGTTGTGTGTGGGATAGAAGAGCCAGATTATCTGCGAAGTCTTGATCGTCCGGCTGCATCCTAGCTGCCCTCTGTATCCCGTGTTTATATATATTTTAGATATAGACAACTTGACCTAGTTGTTTTAAAAAAATCAGTATGTCGTAGATAAAGTTAATCTTCAATCAGTAATTTCTAGCCACAAATTACCTAAGGATCAGACAGAATTATGTTTGTTTTTTTGCTAGGTGAATCAGCATATGAAAATTTAGGTTTTTCTGGAATTTTGTGACATTTTACCAATTTCTCTCTAAGTAATTCTCACAGTAGTTATGCTCAAATAACGGGAAATGATGAAGGCATCCACTGAAACACTGAATATTTCTCAGGGGTTTCTTCACAAAGACTTTTTAGTTTTCGTTAAATTCCGATCAAGTATTTTTAAACTTCATACTTTAACGGTATCGACGGTCTAAATGGCCACTATTAATCCTTGGAATTCACTGTACTATGGAAATCCTACCCAACTTTAAAGATATTATCAGGAAGTGTTGATAACAAGTGTATGTTTTTAATGTTTTACGACGTTAAGTAGTATTTTCATCATCGTTTACGAAATCTCAGCAAAACACACACATGTTCACATTATGGTGTTCATTCTATTCTCGATCATAAGGTTTACAACATACGACCTAATCTCCTTGAATATCGAAGTATTGGCACTATTTGAGCCTGTTGATTCTAAACTTAGTCTAGCAGAGGTTGCGGTTGTAACATGTTCAGTGACGATCAGAATTCATTGATGGTTTTTTTTCTTATTGTTGATGATTAAAAATTGTGTTTTAGCATACGGAACTCTTGATATACATGTAAGTATCTAACCAGAAATATTAATGGCATAGTTTGGAGGGTTTGAAAGCCATATCATAGTAACTAATGTATCAGAATAAAGTAGATTAAAGTATTGGTTGTCTAAAGTACTGTTTAAGCAGCAGACGACAGAAACACCTTGGGATATGTTATAACTTAACTTTGAACACAGTTTAGTGTATTTCAAAGAGACGTTTTCCTAGATGAACTTGGTCATTTACAACAGATACACTTCAGTAATTTTTACTTGGTATGCATTTCGATCACATTTAAAACAAAATGACAGCTGATAAGGGGACGTTTGGAAAACTAACTAATGAAGAAATAAGCAATTATTATCAACTCATACATCATCCATAATTACAAAGCTGTACTGGAAAATACATTCACTGGTTGTAACTTAGTTTCTAATTTTTCTGATATGAAAATCAAAATTTTAACCCATTTTAGGATGAATACGGAACAGCAGCTTATAAAACGGTTGAATTGGATACTTTTCTTGACGATAAAGCAGTTCAACATCGAGAAGTTGACGGATTTGAGTCTGATTTGTTTAAAACTTATTTTAATCGCTTTGAGTAAGTTCAGTGTAAATTTAATTTTGTTGGCTAAACAGCATTATAAATCTTTGCTCAAATTAACTTGATAAATTTCCCAAAAATATGTTCTCAGAAAAACCGTTTAACTCTGTTTTGTACGTCATTAGGCGATGAAAATCTTTAATTTGGACATAAAGATTTGTGAAACTGAAGAAGGAAAAGCTTACTTATCAGTTGGACAATTTCGTAAAGTAGACTAACGTTGAAGTTTTTTTCTAGTTTTATATTTTATGCACACCCGTCTATTTAGTTGGAGACTAAGGTTCGATGCTATGCTTCATGCTATTTAGGACTTACTAGTTTACTGTGACATTCACTGATCCCAGTGAGACTGGGATTCACGAAATTTCAAGCCATAAGCAGATGGGTTTTCATCAATGTGTTTAGGCTATAACCAACATAATGAAGTCACTAGTTGAGTTACATGTTACATTATCTACCCCATGGTTCAGATTGAATTCTATCGATCAAGTATTATTATTATGATCTTATTTTGGTAGAATAATAAAAAGACGTAGTCGATCTGAAATGTGTGGTGTATTTGCGATGTACATTTTGAACAGTCTAGTCACACATACTTTTCAAGGCAGTTGGTACGAAAATTCACAAAGATTTACTTGAACTTTCATTTAATTGGCCTTTATTAATTCTCACCCAAAATGCCTTGACAAGTATATTAGTGACCAGATTGTTCAAAATGTATAGCACAAAAACATCATACTTTTAGGATCAACTTTGTTTTTTCATTGTCCTATGAAAAATTATAAAAAGGTCCAATTGCTTTAAATATTTTGTATTTGGCGGCGAAACATAATCGATAGGAAGTTTTGTTAGGTAGTTATTACAACTGGAGTTTTTCTGCAGTATGGCAGGAACTCTTATTAGTTTTATTTCCGTTCATGTAAATTACTTTATCAGAAACATTTTATTGTGATGCCCGAAGAGGTCAATACAATGAACTGTTTTAATAAATTAGTAGTTACGATTTCTTCATTTAAGTGTGAATAGTAGTACCAATATTCTTAAAACTTCTATCTGAAGTTTGTACTGATGATGTCGTTCAGAAGAACGATGAAAGCTCCACGACCAAACCATCCAGCTCAGAGAACAAAACTCCACCTAAAACATTTGGTCCCAGATGTACGTCTCTTCTTGGGAGTCTTTAACTAGGTGGGATGGGATCCCAGTATTGGTGTTCTGATTAAGACTTTCATTTGCCCATTTTTTTAAACAAAATCACATTACCTATCATGTTAATGTGTAATGATAGCCACCAGTGATTTAATGTAAATGGAAAGAGTAATTCTGTTGTGCAGTTACATCCAACGGATGGGCCTTGAGATAGTTAATCCCAAAGTTGGATTTTAATTATTCGTTGGAACTTTAAGTTCAATTACTGAAAGATTTAAAACATAATTTTCAGCGGAATGCCTTCGAGGTACTAGGGAAGCAATTTTCATCAAACCTTCAATCTCAACAGATATTCATGTGTAAAAATATGCATTCAGCCAAAAGAACGAAAAAACACATGCCGTAGTACCACATCGCATAGCTTTATGCTATAAACATGTTCATTTTTAAAACAATTAGTCCCTTTGATAAATTTGTATAATGTGATGAAAAGACGAGAGTTATCAAAATTAGGTAATACACTTACGCAATATATTTGGAACAGTCTGATCACACACATACTTCCTAAGACATTACGTATGCAAAAATCAAAGGTCAATTAGATAAACTAAAAGGTAAGAGGAACAAAGATAATAATGAGGTACACAATGTGAAAACCGCGCTGAATAGTAGATCGATATTATCAGGGTTGGTTAAGAGTATGAACAAATTGCTTTTGAACACATAAAAGAGGTTTCAGTTTTCGTATAGTTAAGGTGTCAATAAACTTCAATCTTCTTTCGTGGAAACTTTTGTACAGAATTGCAGAAGCTGACTTGATATCAACCTTATGACCGATTACAATCAATTATTCGAAATGTAAATATATTACATAATTCTGGCGGCCATCTTATCGCATTATCTAAATTTATTAAAGGGACTAATTGTTTTAAATTTCTGGAAAGAAGAATCCCTATTTAAAGGTTAGATGAACTTGTTAAACTTGTGTGCAAAATTATATCTGAACGAGTGGAACTAGACTTTTCAACTCCTGTTTGCCAAGTGAAAAATCCCCAAATCAGTTACAAAAGAATTTACGTCCAAGTAAATCACAACCAAATATTTCATATCTTATTATACTGACAAAATGGTATGTAAATAATTGCCAAGATAGATTAATCACATTAACTGAAATGCATATTCAAGGATTGGCTGCATAAACAGAAATGTCTAGTTTGCCATATCAAATTAGTCGATTTTTGAAGTACTGTCATTTTGAAAAAGGAAGAATAGATCAGAAAAAATCTGGAAAAATCTTTCTGTAATCATAATAATAATGTCAGTTCACTTCCAATCAATCCCAATACATATATCACTATAGGTAGTCCTTTAGATCTATTGATGCCTAATGTACTTATAGGGTATGTGGGAACCCTAGTTGAAGATTAAAATTTAGAAGACGTGTCTTTATAAGCGGTACGTGGATGACAGCACAGTCATAAGTGACAAACATTAAGATGTGAACCGCTTGTTAGGTGAACTCAGCACAAGCTAAAAGGATATTTCTTTTAAATGCGAATATTTGAACGATCAGCTCCCTTTTCTAAACATATTGATTAGTATAAGAAATGGTCCCATCAAACGTTCTGTCTATGGAAAACCGACATGGTCAGAACAGTATCTTAGTTACCATAGTCACTCTCCAGTCTAGTACGAATTTGTATTAATAAAGGGCTTATTCAATAGGATCGATCGTATGTGTACTAGAGATACTATTGAGGAAGACTTCAAACTTTTAAATGAAACATTGATAAATAACGGTTATCTACTGAAGTTCATAAACCATTAGAAAGTTAGCAATATGATTAGACCTGCAATGTTTTCTGCACCCAAAAGCGTGTCTATATTACCCTACATTCAGAGGTGATTCAAATACTTCTCATGTTGAAACGAATACTTACATTAGCTATCAACCGGACATTTCACTCAGCTCAATCTATCATTATCGAAAAGTCAAAGTTTATTTTTCGCCGAAATGCAAACAGCATGTAAGCGATTTTATCACATCCCATTGCGCTTATCAATTTACATGTATGTGCAGAAACATGTACAAAGGGAGGAGCAATCGCGATCTGAAAGTAAGGGATGGATACACACACCTAGATGGCTACTAAAAACGAATGAATTCTTATGGTCAGAAATGCCGCGCAGTAGACGAAATCTAACTCCATTGCGAAACATTCGGTTGAAACCGATCATAAAATTGATATCAAGTCGGCTTCTGCAATTCTGTACAAAAGTTTCCACGAAAGAAGATTGAAGTTTATTGACACCTTAACTATACGAAAACTGAAACCTCTTTTATGTGTTCAAAAGCAATTTGTTCATACTCTTAACCAACCCTGATAATATCGATCTACTATTCAGCGCGGTTTTCACATTGTGTACCTCATTATTATCTTTGTTCCTCTTACCTTTTAGTTTATCTAATTGACCTTTGATTTTTGCATACGTAATGTCTTAGGAAGTATGTGTGTGATCAGACTGTTCCAAATATATTGCGTAAGTGTATTACCTAATTTTGATAACTCTCGTCTTCTCGTCGCATTCTATAAATATTCACTTTTCCTTGAACTAAAGGTATCTATTTTACCTTGACCAGTTCTCAGATATCTCTTCTTTGTCATTATCATTTAAGAAATTAATAGTTGAACACTGATTACTTAATTGGTTTAAATCATGTGGCTGCTCAGAAAATTCACATTGATGCATGTATCTCCATCATAAATATAATTATTTTTGTTAAACAACAATTTCATTTAGTGATATCCCCCCTCTTTAAATAATCTTACAGATATAAACAAAAAAACACGTGTTCTATTCCACGTGGAAGTAAAATGGTTATATGTCAATTAGTTGTTGTGTATTGCATTTCGTTACTCAGGGGGTGTTATTTACTAACACTAAACATAATAAGACTCATTTAGTCAACAATAAAAGACAGACTGTTATTAAGTTAAAACAATGTTATTCTGTAACTACATAGACAAATTGTAAAGCTTTATAACATACTATTAATGACATGTTGATCTCCAATCAAAATCAGTGGTAGTCTACTTTAGTAATATTATCGATTTGATTTGATTGCATTTTATGAGATCTTATTGGTCTTCTGTTTGTGTAGTGTATCAAAATTGTCAGTAAATTTAATTATTTATTACTCATAAAATTGTTTTGAAAATTTTACTAATGTCTCAATTCCTGAATGAAATTGACAAGGTACCAAATGAATTATTATTAAGAATTTTTCAATATCTTAATGGAAATGATTTAATAACTTGTACATTATGCAATCAACAATGGAATGATTTAATAAGCAATGACAAATATATATGGTTGTCTATTTTTGAAACTGAAATGAATACTGGTTGGTTATGGTTGAATAAAGAAATGGTTCATATATTAAACTCATTTAATTTGATACATAAAAGTTTATTGATAGAATTCAATGAAAATGAATCAGTGAATAAAAATGATCAACAGAAATTTAAAAACTATCGAAAAATCACGGAACTAATCACACAAGTATTGAATAATCCTGCTTGTTTCATGAAAAAAATATATTCATACTACACTAATGTATACAAAATGGAACAAGAAATATTACAAACACGGATTATTCCCTATTTAAACTCAATGAATAATGAAGAGATTTGTTTTGATTGTATAATATTAGGACCAGCTATTGATACAGTTCATTTAATTGGAGGATTTATACATAAACTTTTAAGTTGGATAGATTTGACTTTAACAATGAATAGACAACCCATTAATTTAAAAAAAATGCATAGAACTACTACTCCATGGGCTGGACAAGGATTTATATTACGTTTACCACAATGTTTATCATTAAGCGATGAAGAGAACTGTAAGGGTATACTTTTTAATACAACAATTTTACATTCACGTAAGCATATGATACGTTCTAGGTATCGTTATGGTGGTAGTCGATTGTTTGGTAATTGTTTAGTTGAAGCACCAATAACCGATCAACAACCAGTTGGTAGTGTAAAATTGACTCATTGTGCTACTAATGCAATTAGTTCAACTAAAATTGTGTTCTATGTTATTGATATACGAAAAGAAGATAGTGGTTTGTTAAACAATGAAAATGGTGATACTATATCTCTTATAAATCCATATAATTCTGATAATGAAAGATGGAATGAAATACGCGTTGAATTAGATGCTTTAACAAATTGTATGAATTCAGAACAAATATTAATTGTCTTAGGAGTTGGTAGTCAAAACGATAATATAAATAATTACAATCTTATAGAACTTGCTTCAAATCTTGGCTGTGATTATGGTATTTGTTCGGAAAAATTCGTTTGCGATGAGAATGATAACAATCATGAGAATATTGACGCTAATCTTGTTAAACCATTATTGAATAAACCACACATAAATTGGAGATTATGGTGTACTTCAGTAAATGAATTAACTTATACCAATTTGGAAGAGATTTTTTTCTGGACAGCTATAACTTATTTGAATAAATCACATATTGTTAAAATGATTTCAACTGAATCGTTAACAAAGCAAATTAAAACTATTCGAAATCGTATAACTAATTATTATCGTGTACTTTCGACTGATAAATAACAATGGGATTTCCCATAATTCTTTGCTATTTATTTTTATTATCTTGTTTTGTAGTGACATTCTTTTGAGAAGCTTCTTTTGTGTATAAATCTATCAAAAGTTGTTTGTACTTCATAGCTTGTTTTTTTTTCTTAACAATAATGTAAATTCTTCCTGAAACTATTCTGTACACCAATCCAGTTCTTATTTTCTTACAAAATAAAACTGAATTACTTATGTTGGCTAATGATTCGTCAGGATGTATTCCACAACTTCAATTCTACACAAAATAATCAGATTAATATCTTGTGACTGGCTGAAACAATTGTAAACAAATAAGTCATCACCATGATCTATGAATATACATTCGGAAATCAATATAAATTCGCACGAAAATACCTAGTTCTCTGTTATTTTCAGTTTTCATAGTGAATTATTTGAATCATATGAATAAAATGAAAATCATGATATATCGATTTTTTGTTTTTAGAAAAATGTAATCATCCATTTTTGAGATGGTAGAGGAGATTTTTAGCTTAGGTGAATGATTTGGGTGGGTTTTTTTTCTCTGAACTGGAGGGAACAAAACTGCAAACATCAATTTTGTCCACATATTAGTGTTTGTGTGTAATGGTTAAAATATTTGTTGTCTTATTGTTTGAGTAAATATTTTTGGGATGGTTAAAATCATGACAAACCGGTGTGCAAGAAAATAGTTCTGAATAAAATGATAATATTGGTTTAGGATTATAACATTTTTAGTTAGTCACTATCTTAAAGTTTAGAATTATGTTTAGTTAAGCATTTCGTTTGATGTCTGTCTTTATCAGGTCTATGGATATATCATGTTTAATTTACTTATGCCATATGTCATTTAATATTTTTCATCACCAATCACAGTATTGATATTCTGACGAATATAGAGATTTTCACTAGACTTATGATTTTACAGTTTGGTATAAATGTACAACTTTGAGAAAAAAGATTGACAAACAACAGTTTTTTTTGAGTCATTCAATTAATTCATTAGTTATTTAATAGAAATATTAATTTTGATTGATTTATATGATCACATCGTGTTACAAAAACCTGAACGTTGAATTTACCGAATGTTTGTTCAACTAGTAACCAATTTATTTTTAAGCTAAATGTTTGTATTCTTGTAGCTACATTTTGATGTCAAACAAACTATCCGATATTTGGTTCCTCATAGATACTCAACAGGGCATTACATTGTGGGAAAATCTAATATTTTGGAGATTTTAGTGTTTTTTCTCCAACTTTCTATTTTCATTACACTTTAGTCGTAAGTGAAAAGATTATATGATGAAAAAAGTTTATAAATATTTACGTAGTTATGATTAAAAACACGGTATTCTTATTTATCAAATTTCATGGTCTGATAAATCATTAGCAACGGAATGCAAGAACTCAAAGATAAATGAGATTGTGCAATGTTTGTTTGTGCTCAATGATAATAATTCAACCATTATCACCATCTTGAAACAGCAGCCTCTGTAGTTTTTTCATGTGTAGCCAAAGTGATCCTGGTGACTTCCGCACCGGACATTATTAGCCGGCTCTTGGACTTGTCGGGGAAGACAAAGAAGTGGTCAGTTTACGATATGTCTCTGTAGTGTTTTAGAGATGGTACAGCTCAATAACTTCAGACACTATCAAACATGGCTCAAAACAGAAGCCATTGGCGATCTTGCTATAGTTTTCGTTAAAATTCTTTATAAAAATATTAGAAACTGGACGAATTCTTCTTGGTCATATTTTTATTGAACCGTTATTTTGATTCATTTATTTTGTGCATTTATCTGCTTTTAACTATACACCTTCCTCTTTCTCTTCACTATTTCATTTCCCTTATATACGTTGGTCTCCAGTTGTACCCGTATTTTTGCATGTTAAATAAACATATGATTTAATGATATGTAGAGAAGTAGGTTTCTAACCTGTTGCAAGGCGATAAACACGTGAATTTGTTTGAATTGCTAGCGATAACTTAATGAAATAGGTTCATCATGAAAACCTTTTTAAATTCACTGCTTTCTGTCTTTTTTTTTTTAAAAAATAATCTAAATATAGAACTCTTGCAGGTGGATATGCAAGCGGATTTAATCATGTAAAACCGAACGAATATAGACCTCGTCTTTTACTGTTTCATTCAGTTGATCGTAAAAATATGGAATTGATTGAAGTGCCATTTTCAAGACGTTCTTTGGATTCAACAGATGTCTTTATTTTGGATATGGGTACTGAAGCATATCAGTGGAATGGACGTGGGTGCACTAAAGAAGAAAAATTCAAGGTAAGGCCATTAATGTTTTTATGTATGAAAGTCATCATCAATCTGTCAAGATCCACTTAAGGAAAATGCAATATGTCACTACCCAGTCTTTGATTTTCTCAAGTTGTTTACATAGCTAGTGTTTATACGAAACTATATGGCTGATTTGTAGCACTTATAGTCTGTTATCTCTCCTTTGTACATCAATTTTCATAGTGTTACTTTTTTGTTCTTGTTTAACACAATTATTTTCTCGTGTATATAATGTGTTCTCATGTATCAATGCGTTTCATAATTGCAGAATTTGATTTACTTTTTGGTGTTGACTCAGATTAATTTTTGTTTCAACTGTACTATTTGAGTAAATTTATGTACCCGAAAATGAAGAACGTTAAATGCAAAACTCATCAATGCATATATATTCAGCAAGAACACTGTGTCATAAGAATGATTTCATCTTGTCATCAATCTATGCAAAAGATAGGACACGTAATTGCAAAAGATTACCATAATCTTATTTTATATAATTTATTGACAATAGAATAAATTACAGGTTGTATTTAATACTTTTCCACATTTCAATATGTCCATGTAAAGAAATATTGAAACAAGAGTATAATTATCTGTCGTCACTCATTCGTCTGTATATAAGCTCTAATTGTTTTCTAACTAAACTGATTGAAATTTTGTCAAGTATACTATGCTACCATATTTTTATGAAACCTTAATGATAAGGTAAATAACTTTATGATCACTTGAATCAATAATATACTGACATAAATAGATTAACTTAATGTTGATGTCTTTGTATTTCGTGTAGGTTAACTGATTGATTATGTTGTAAGCAGTTATCAAGAATATTCTGTTTATTGATCGGTTTTGATTCCAAAGGGTCAAATAATAATAAACACTATTACTCGATAAGTGATATTATTAAGTGGATAGTTCAGTACAGAGATCTATTCACTTGCTCATAAGGAAGTCATTTATCCATATTTCTACTAGCCATTAATGCTGTCGTAAGGCCTTTACCTCCAAAAACGTAAATTACACATTTTACATTTGGTATTGAACAATTATGAAGATCAGTTCTGAACTAAACTCAAAATGTAGTTTCTCAACTGTGCATTCGGTATAATAATGAAGATAGATGAGGTCTATTATACTGTTTAAATTTATGTTACGAATAACAGATCAATGATATCGTTATTCATATTTCCAAAATACTCGATGTATTTTTAGTGGGTTAAAAGTTTAATTGGTAAAGTTTGTTATTCTTGATGTTATTCAGGCAAGTCAGTTTTTACAACAACTGGAGTCTGATCGAAATGGAAGGTGTAAAACTGAGGTGACAGATGAAGATGGTTCTGAGGAACATGTAAGTTGCTTATTTCTAAAACATCTAATTGTCTTGTCAGTAGACGTAAAAGTCACTTCAAAGTGTGTTTTCTGCTTTGTTGTATAGATGTTTACGAGAATTCATTAACTTAGTCGGCGTAGTCTAGTCATACTCATGTTTTTAGAGATATTAACTTAGGTGAGTGTTATAACTTGGATCCCACTAACCAATATCACGTGCCTAGTCACCATTCAGAATCCTTCTAATTTGGTCTGTTATTTACTCTGTAGTTTAGTGTTTTTAACTTGGCTAAATACACTGGATCAGCAATAATAACCCCAAGTCAACAACTAAGTTCCTGTTGCCTCACTATTTACTAGCTCCTCTCTATGTCCTGTATTTGAGTTCATAAGTCAACAACCAGCCTCTACCATATCTGTATTTCAAACAAACGTGGTTTATATACAGGCATATATAACTTCACCACACCATAATATAAAAAATAAATTATACGCAAACAAGCCAAAAGTGGCTGTGAGTAGGGGAGACTGTAAATAATCGACTGGAAACAAAATAGGAATAGTCAGTCGTATGACACTAGTTGATGAGTTAACTGAAAGCTTATACTAAACAGAATACATAGACACAGTAATCCAGTCTCTTGATAATTATAAAGTAGGGATATGTATAATAAGGATGATACATAAATTAGCTCTGAGAGCTTCCATTTCTTAAATCTTCGTTCAGACATAACAAAATTCATATATGATACGTGAATAAGCCAAAAAAGGCTGTGAATAGGGGAAACTGTAGGTAACAGACTGGCAACAATTTAGGAACAGTAGGTCGAATGACAGTAGTTTATGGGTTAACCAAAAGTTTATAATCATAGGAAAACATATACATAGTAATCTAGTCATTCAGTAATTACCGAACAAAAAGTAAAATCAATAATAGTTCTAAAAACCGTTTCCAACTTCTAAAATATTCGTTCCGTTATAATAATAAGATAATAAAGTACCATATCGAAATGAATCATGCTCATAGTAACTGTAGATGCCATAAGAGCCATTATAGGATTATCACTACTAGTCACCTGATATCTTCATTGTATGGATTATAAGTGTTTTTGAATTTTTATCCATCAGAAACGAAAGCATTATGATGGCTTTGGAGATTTCACGCTTTTTAGTTGACGTAGTTATCATAATCATATTAGATGTTAACAAAGCGTATTTGCGATTCTTCAATACAATATATTGGTCTAAAGGTTAAGGGTTTGTGTACAAAACTGAAGGTCTATCCCTGGTAGTGGGGTCGTGAATGTGTACTCCCGGGTTGTTCCATACTTCGATAAAACGACTGTCTAGTGCTTTCCAGTTTTCAATGGTGGTTTTAACCAAGATCAGTTCATGGTTTACATTATGGGAAGCCTACAATCTCCACAAACCCTCCATACTAAAAAGGAATTTACGTTTCAGCTATAATATTGAGACAGTGTGTTATAACTTAAATTAACTAAACAAACTTCAAGTTTTTCAGTACCCCGTACTTACCAACTTATGACTAGGACCTGAAACAATTTGAATTTTATCTTCAATGTAAGAATAAACTAGGAAACTAATTTCCACTTTAAATAAAGCAACAGATTACTTAAATAAAACGATTGACGTTTAACTATTAGAACTGAATCTTATCCAATCGTTACAATCGTTTCTTACTGTGAACAGTGATTTACATAAGACCTAAAGAACACAAAATTCTGCCTATTCTTCATCTAGATCAATTTCATTTCTGCTTAAAACATATTATTATTATTATTATTATTATTATTATTATTATTATTATTATTATTATTATTATTATTATTATTATTATTATTATTATTATTATTATTATTATTATTATTATTACTAAAATCTGTTTATTATAAAAAGGGACAGTTGCATACAATAATCACTGGTATACATGTGTTTCTGTTTCATTCATTTTTTTTCTTTGTTTTATACAGAAAAAGTTCATTAGTTTATTGCCAGACGTTGCAATAGAAAAAAAAGTTGAACAAAAAATAGGCAAGAAAGTAATTTACAGGTAATTGTTTCTAAATATTTATCTATGTAAAAGTTAATCATATTGTTTATTGATCATTAGATGACCACTTTTACGCCCATATTTAATATTAAAGTGGAATATAGTTGATATTATATCCGCGATCCTACTTTTATATCTTCTGCGCCGCTGCTGTGTTTGTAGTGGGTCTTTGTTAATGTCCATGGTTGTCGTCGCTATTACGTACGTATAAACTCTGCTGAGTTCTCAGTCTTACTGCTTATACTTTGAGACTCGAATCATTGCGATTGCCATGATGCAAAGTAAGGACATACAAAACTCATGCAATGAAGATTTATTGACTCTTCAAAAACACGTCACCAAACAAGTCCTCAAAATCACATCGTTGTTTGACTAAAATACAATTATTTATTTATCGTATTACACTTAATAATACCCCATTGGGAGAAATACATGGAGTTACTGTAAAAATACAGGGAATGTACTTGTCAAACAAACCGAAAGTCCACTCTAGTTATATTGAACAAAGTTGTTACTGAATTGATACAATAAATATTGACCTAAAGAAGTTCTTTCTCACCCGTCATATCAAGTTAAGTTCAAACAATTTGATTAATGAGTAATTACCGTCTAAGAATTTGTGACTAAACAATTCTTCGACAAAAATCAATAAATATCTTTCCGACGTCATTTGGATTGACGAATTTCTGTTGATAAATCTGAGGCGAATTTATGCATTAAGTGTAAGTAGTCTACGGATTAGTTATCAATAGCTTTCTATTGTTACTTTATTGAACTTAACTGACTATTCATCACTACTACTAATAGCACGGTATCATTGTGGCTAATTCTAACTTCGACTCAATTAGTCTGTGAATTTGTTAAAGCTTGATTAAAGAATCGGCTGGCCTACTTCAGTTTTCTAATTATGAATGATCGAGATTCTCCTAATACACATTTGAACAAATGTGGACTATATAATACGGCAATTGACACACACAATTCGATAATTTAAATCATTGAGCTGTAATTTATTTGTGATTCAACATGTGACCACTTAGTGAATTATTATTGTGTTTAGTACTCACTTCTTAAACATTGTTAATCTAGCCCTGATGATACAATCTTATGTGAAACTATCTGCAAACTGAAAAAAATTTCAACCCATCATCCTGTTGATTAGCATTCATTCCTTGTTTATACCATCATCAGCTAGCAATAGGATATTAGTCAGAGAGATTCCATCCTTTTATGGATCGATCACTATAGTAATAAGAATTGACGTTCACATTCACACTTGCTACATTATTTTACACAAGAGTTCAGTTCACCAATATTTCAAACCTGTTTGACTCATTTTTCACCATACACCCATTTTTTTCTTTTACTTTTCTGATTTTTTATAGAGTTTCAGATGAAAGTGGTAAAATGGAGATTTCACTTGTATGTGAAAATGCATTGCCGAAAGCGTCCCTAACAGAAAACGATGTGTATCTCATTGACAGTGGACAATCTCTATTTGTTTATATTGGAGTGAAATGTAGTAGACGGGAAAAATTGGATGCATTATCTCATGCACATGTAATTCATTTGAAATTTACAGTTAAAGATTTGTTTTTTTTTTTTAGTTTGATATTTTTGTAATAAAATTGTACTTCATTTGTAATTCATTTAATTAGGGATAATGAATTCCGTACGACCTTAGGTCTCTGAGCAGGTTGATTTAATTATGAAGCTTTCATCATCACTCTGGACATCATTATTAGCACAAACATTCAAATAAGAGTGATCTATTTTAATTTCTCCGTTTTATGACTAACAGCTTTTTCTGTCGACTTTGATGTTGGTTAGTTGCTTCTAACCCTTGTTTTGTCGTTGCTTGCATATTTATTTTGATTATCTTCACGCTATTGATCTGATTCTTAACGTTATGGTTTTACAAGATCTTTCCAAATGTTCGGTAAGTTGAATGGATTTCGATATGTTTGTTGATTGCGGATTGAGCTCAGTGCTAAGATTCTTCAAATTTTCTGGTCTTCTAAGTAGTCTCTCTGTCCGAGATCTCATCATTTTTGCAGTCGAACGCATATCTACAATTGTCTACATTCGCTGATATAAGCGAAGACAGCTAGTTGATGTCCTTGCAGAAGAATTCGAAGAGGGTGGCCAACTTGCCAGCCATAATGTTTCTCACAGTTGTAACGGTTTATTTCGTACATGATGTTTAACTTTATTCTTTTGTCATCTCATCCTTGTGTTTACATAAGATTGAGAGGAGTGATGAAGCTGGTTTGTAGGTTACCCCTATTCCAAGCTGCTTTAATAGTCTTGCGATTTCCGATATGTCCTTCATATGTGATAAAATCCGTTTGTTGGTTTCCATGTTTATTTAGTTGCTAGTTGTCTGACTCCACTATGATTGAATCGTTTATTATCTCACATAGCTTCGTATATGTTCTATCGAGTTAACGCGTTTCGAACAATCTGCTAAAAATGTATAAGTGTTTGGTTGATTTTCTTTAGTCTTCAACTTAATATTTTATTGAAATTACCTCAGTTACGAACCGAAACTTAAAGAACAAAACATTTTTTTCTGATACATACTTTTGTATCGTATTGGAACTAATTCATAATTCGTGTTATTATGGGTTGTATTACATACATACACACGTAGACACAGGGATGTACTTACTTGTTACAAATATTGTTAGTACATGTGCTGTGTGTTACTCCATGACATTTATCAGAAGTTTTTCACAGATTGAAATCATGAGTCAGTTGAAGCTAGACCACCATTGAAAACCTGGAAGCACTGGACGGCCGTTGAATAATGTTAATTCAATAGAACCTATTTTGTACCATTTGAATATGTAAAGATATATCTACATCGACTTACATTATGTATGCATGCGTGTGTGCTTGTTTGTTTGATTATTCATTATACACTTATGAAAATGATACAATCATATTTATAAGTACAATAAACAAATGAATTTGTAATTAACTAATCACATTAGATTGTTAGTGCTTGAGTGTGAATTTATTTTATGTCACTTTAGATATCTTTGAACAAAATAACTGGTAGGAAAAGCATTTCGTGTGATCTGTGTAAGCTGCTAGTATTCAAATTGACAATAGTTTAGCTGGCAAACTGATATCATCCGGGAAACTGTCTGTTAGTTGTACACATTCGCGGAGACCATATGACATGTAATCCGATTTGTTGTCTCAGTAAAACACTTTGAAACCGATTATGAATTCTCATTTTCAACCAAATTTTAATACACAGCACTATCGTCATGGAACGTCATCGGTATGTTGCTGTTTAGGTCTGAAATTGAATACTTTAGTGAGATATGGTTTCATCTCTAAGCTAGTTGCTGTTGGCCACATAGCTGTTCTTTACATATATTCCCCGAATTACGTCAGCTAGATACTTTTGAGGAGTTGTGCTTAACATCTCAAGAGTGAAAAATTTCACATTTTGTAATCTTAATTATCTCATCTTAATTATTTCTTGTTACTTATTTATTTTCTAATTATTAGGATTACTTACAAAAAACTGATCATCCATTCGCTCCAATCACTGTTGTATCGAATAATCGTAAATCGAAAGAATTGGATAAACTGCTCGAATAGTATTGAATAGCAGTTAGAAAAAAGGTGAATGATCATGTCAACTTTAAAAAAATGGAATGAAATTTCAAGTAATATTAATTCTGACAGTATTCATAATATCACTACAATATATTCTGAAGTTATATTTACACTTATAAAGTGTATTATTATATGCATGAATATTATTTATTTGTACCTTAATTATCTTATCTCGTTATTTATTCAACCAATATTGGTTTGAATATTATGTGTTATATGCTTTCAAATAAATAATTGTTTTTCTTCCTAATGTGTTGTCCTTATAGCCTGTTAATATATCAAATGACTAAATCGCCAATTAAAAACACCGACTTCCATGATCGGACCAATGACGCATTAACTAACACGAGCAGCTTAGAGTCAACTCAGAGTTCTTATTGATCCTCAGAGATAGTAGCTTCTCGCCTAAACCACTCGGTTCAATCCAGAACATCAATATCAGCCTCCACTATATGAATCATGTATTACAAACATAAGCAGTTTATACACAAGCAAATCAGACTGTATCATACCAAAAAACAGGAAATAACAATTACAAAAAATCAGGCTCTAAGTATCTGTGACTGTGAGATACTGTAACTGATAAATTGGGAATAACTTGGGTTAATTTAATTTGGTTATTTATTCTCTAAAGTGGCTTACACGGAGTCACGAAATGTCAGAAAATCAAATTTATAACAATCTACCCAATGCTCGATTTATTTGAAATTATCAAGTTAAACCTTGATAATGATAACTATAACTTAAGAATAGTAAATCGTATAATAGTAGTCAGCAGGTTAAATGGAAGCTTATAATAAAAGGAATATTGATATGCATATAATATAGATATTTAGTAGTTATACGATAAGAATATATGTAATAACAGTCTATAAATAGATCTTAGCAGTTACCATTCACTTCTTCCTATAGATATAACAGAATTAATCTTGAATATTCCTTTCTGTTGTATTTTGAGACTTGATTTCCAGTTGGGTTTACTATAATTTCTAACTACTAACGAGTTGAGATAATTTTAATACAGATTGGATTTATTTTTCACTCAGTATTATGCCAGTTAACACACAATTTGCAATTATGATGGAATACTTGAAGTCAAAATGTATTGAAAAACTTCATATTTAGCCAAGAGAAAGTTGAATTAGAACAACTCTGTAAACATAAGAATGAAACACAATATTGGGACACTTGAAAGTTAGCAACTTGCAAGAGACGACAGCCAATCAGTAAAAAGCATAAGCCATGAGAAAATACAAATGAGGAAAAATGAACTCAGTGCGATCGTCTCAAGAAAAAAAGACTGACATTTAATAACACAAAACTGCATAAGTTTAAGTCTTCCTAACACTTTCTGAAAAGAATATGCTTTTGCTTGTCGTCATCATTCAAATGCACGGATAATGAATGCTGATGGGAGAGAGGGAGTTCTTGTATTTAAGTAGGTTAGATTTAGCAGACTGATGGCGTATGATTCCTTCAAATTTTGCTATAGATTATGATCTTGAACTTAAGTTAGTCAACTACTTATTACGGACTAGCTCGAGTCGGCGCGAAGCAACCTAAACTATATGGGAAATCATTCTCATTAGTTAAGAAGAGAGGTAAATCACAGCTATTTGTTGAAGAGATCCATAAAACTCGAAAAAAGGCTTTGAAAACATTGAGGAGCATCTAGAAGTTTTGACAGAAACATCTAGAAAGTGGAAAGTCACATATCGAGTTTGTGATTGAATGGTTAACTATACTGCTACTGTGTTTAGTAGCGTTCCAGAATTTTCCGGAAACCCAAGGCCATCCTAAATACTATAAAACCCCTAGATTTTCCGTACGTAAACGAACATTTTGAGTGAAGCGTTTCTCTTGTATTACGCAGCTTTTCTCTTGTGTTCAAGTTGCTGTGTAGATCTAGCGTGGGGGTTACTAGAAGAGGTTAGGAACCGAATCTAGCTTTCAATTAGAAGAGTTATCACTAATAACACTATTGCAGTTAATTGTTATAAATCGTTGGTTGTGTATGTAACACGAGATTTTAAGTTTCAGATTTGAACTTGGCGCCTAGGAGTTGCCATTTAATGTCGACATTCACAATCGTTTGTGAGGCATACTTGATGTATAATAATTAACAACGTCTGAAATAAGGTTTTTTGAAATGTAGTGTGTGTAAGGGTATTCAAAAGAACTATACTTTCATTGGCAGTTAAGTTCATAAAACAAAATATGATGAACTAACGCTCGATTCTTCTTTACTTTTCAGAAATAATTGGTGGTAGAGGAAATGCGTGTTAATTTAGCGGACATATATCGTTTCGATCTCATCGTTTAGGTATTCAAGTGTCTATAAAGGCTTGGATCTAGGTTTCGCGCTCTCCCAGGAAAACTGTTTATTCTGTTGGACATACACTAGTAATCACGAATGAATCAGTGCATGAAGACAAGAGAAGACACTGGAAATAAGTTGGTGTATTGTGCGAGGTTCAATAATCAATACAAACATCATGTCTTCGAATGATTGTCTATACCGATCCTTACAATTGCCGCCTTTACGACAATCTCTGTTCCTAATTTTGACAATAGTAATTAAATAATAGGAGAATTAAACAAATTCGAGTTCAACTATATAAAGTAGTCTCAAAGGAATATCATCAAAACTTGGGTGTATCACCTTATTCCATATAAGTACAGTGTACAAATTAGTCCCTTATTCAATAAGCGGCAAATAATTAACATCCGTTAGCTGAATATTATTCCTACAGCCTTTCGATTATCTAAGTGTGAATTATTTAACCTGTTGGACCACTGAAAAAAGAACGCTAATCCACTCTAAAACTTTCAAACCATTTCGTCTTCACGAACAACTATTGAGTAGCATGTAAGGTAACATGTCCACATCATAATAATTTGTAGTTCTCATTCCTCTACATCATATGATCAACAAAAATAATAATGAAAATAATGATAAACATATTATTACTAATAATTGTTACCAACACTATTATAACTATCAGTATCATAGTAATGTATTGCACTCGTTATTTTGATGCGGTGTAGATCTATTGCTTTTCAATCATGTCGCTGTTAAAGGACAAGAGTGTGTTGTTTCAAAGTCTCAATTACGATATAGTTGTTGTTCAATTCACTAAATCATTTTTTCTCAGGCAAAAATTATTCTTAGTAGTTTAATTAAACATACATCAACTGAATGACACATAACTGGATTTGTTGTTATGTTATTAGAAAGAGGTAGTCTGTTAAATTCTGCATTTGAACAAAACAAAACAAAGCTATTTACGTGAAGTTAAATGATTAAACTTTCATTCACACAAACAAATTCATTAAATATTTGCATATTACCATATGACATCACAGTCATCAACTCATTTTTTTTTAAGATTATGAAACTACGTAAGTAGTTTAATTAAAAACAATTAATCCCTTTGATAAATCTGCATAATACAATTAAAACCGTCTTTTCATCATATCATACAAATAGTTTAATATGAATCCGACTTTATAGATTGAGGAATGGATTCATAACTTTCTAGAATGATTTGGAAAAAAAGTGTATTCACATTTGCTTAATGGGATATACATGTGAAATCATTTAACTGTTGTGAGATTATGTGATATCTTGACAAATGGACTACATTTAACTTTATCACTTCATCATAATTATTGGAGATAAAACTCTTTGTTGATATATCTCACCAAAAAATTGACTGGAAGGTCCTAAGTAGTTTATTTCTCATTTCAATGTTTCTTATTACTGAATGTTATCTTTTTGTATTATAAATCCCAAAGCACTTTTTCGATTATTTTTGGGCTACTCAAATAAATACAAGTAGTCAAACGTTGAAGTAAATGTTATGATTTCAACAGAAGAAATCTGTTAAAATGTCAATTTCTGAGATTAAATTCAAGTTAACGTTGATTTGATCTACTAATATATTATTTAAATATAACCCATTTATCCGAAAAAAACAAGTATCTCTGTTTATGCATAAGTTCCAGAATGTTTATATATCAGATTGGTTTTGCTAATTAGCATAAAATCATTTTAATATCAAACTTCAGTATGTTGATTGTATTAAGATTTGGATAAGACAAAGTTACTTGATGAAAAGGTAAGAATATATTCACCCTCCTAGTATTTGAGGTTACAGCTTAATACATCCTTGCAAAATATTTGTTTCCATTACTTTTTCGTGTGTATAAAGACCAAAATTAGCACTAGCATGTGATTAATTGATTACTATGACATCATATGGAAAATACAGTTGATCAGATCCATCAAAATCCGTAACATTGGATAACCTAAAACCTCCATAGTAAATGAATCAGCTAGAAACTAGAGCATTATATGCTTTAGGCTTTCCATTGTAAGGTGAAATTGTAAAAATATCGGTATCGAGACATAACACGCTAATTGATTTTACTAGCTTATTCAGTTAATTGAGAAACGTAGAGTAGCAACATTGACAGCCATGTGCATATGACGTACTGAATATTCAGAAGGAAGACATTCATTTATGGTTCATTTTATATGTAATTATATAGTTCTATATCAAAGAAGAAAAGATTGAAACGTATTTATTAATCATTCCAATGAAGACCTTATTATTTGAGAGCGAAGTTTTCTTCATTCAAGAAAATAACCTTACAAACGATTAGGGATTATTTGATCTCTTTTATCGGTAATTATTAGATCTTGAGTGGTTTCTGTTTATTAAGAGATTGATGGGAAAACAATATTGAGCAGTTTCTATTTCATGTAGACACATGTCATCAAAGACTTCCTTAATTTGAAGTTACTGAAATTTATGACTAGAAAATATCATTTTACATTAGAAATGATGCCATTTTTACTTCTTATCAAAGCATCTATCATATATTTGATTTAAATGTCTTACTAGTGTGTTTAAAAAGCTATTTTTATTTTTAAACAGATTTTACGCCTATAGAGATTTATGGAAGGTGTAAATCATGTACTCTGAACGTGATCTTCAACAATGTTTGCTACAGCAGATCACAACAATCAGAAGTTTGTTTGAAGATGATTGATTAAGTAAATTAAAACCAACATAGGGATGTATTTAAACATCGGAAAAAGTGAACGTAATAAATCAAATGAAGTCTCGCTCATTCAAAAGTTAATGTTAATTCAGTTTGGCATGAAACATTCATAAATCTCGATAATAAAATACACTAGATTGACAGTGAAATGCATTTGTTTATCTCTTTCAAACGGTGT